AGAGATCCATTTTGATTTATTCCATCACACCCCAAAGCCAAAAAATGGTGAAATTTTGGCTGCATCGGAGATGATGGAAATCGATAGTCCAGAGAAAATACAGAAAAACTAATTAATTGAAAACCCAGAAGTATAACCAGCCCTAAAGACATCACCAAAAAGGGGACTTCTATGCTGAAGCCTGGTACCAAGAAGTCCAAAGGGTGTGAGTAGGTACAACTTTTCAAGCACAAGTTACTGACAGTTATGCCACTTGGCATTATAGAATTCCACCAAGGAAATACTAGTGGTGTGTTTGAACAACACATACAGCTTCAAGATGTCATTTTCCTATACCTGAATATTCTCTTTCTGATGAGGGCATATTGAGTATACAGGAGCTTCATGTCCCTCAAAGTTAAACAACCTTCTCCCAGTCAAATCCCACACCTAATAAAAATGTGTTAGCTTCCGCTAAATAAGGGAAGAAACATTAACATTCAAAATTAAGACAAGACAAGACTCACCCTAATCAACTTATCATCACCACATGTTACCACACACAGCTGTTTGTTTGGATATGCAAAAGCTAAATCGTTCACTCCTCCAACATGTGCATCTATCTGCACGTATGGGAGATGAAATTACATTTCCATACAAAGACAACATATGACTATCAAAACAAGGAGAAACATATTCTATGAAAGGAAAGGGTGTGTGCATGTGTGTGTGTGTGTGTTTGTCCATCTACATACCTCCAGATGTTGTCGTAAATCATGTGGTCCCGTATAAGTGTAAGAGTACAAATGGATCAAATGCTTAGAAAATGCAGCACCTGCAATACAAAGAACCGTTGTAAATACTCAAACCTGCAGAATTATCATAGGTACCTATAAAAATGAAGGAACTTGTACCAACAAATGTCCCATCTGGACTCCATGCAACACGGTTTACAGAAAATGGTGCATCCTTGACCGCAGAAGCCTGTTGAAGCGCTCAAATGTGAATGAAAGACAAAAGAAAAGGACACGGGACAACAAAAAAAGTGACATGAGTTTTGAACACGTGTAGGGTTTCTTATATAAAATACTCCCAATAAAAATGCCATAAATGCATTAGAGACAAAACAATAAAGATGCCATAAATGCATTAGACACAAAACAAATGAAGCTACTCAAATAACTCAATAGCCTGTAATTCTCCACCCTTGAAAACATATCCGCCCTAAAATAATCTTTTCCAACTTCCTTTTAAGGAAACAAATCTGTGGTTCATATAGTTTCTCCTCTAGATAAATCTCAATCACATAGTTTTCATTTTCTTAATCTTTAAGCCAATTAAACTTGAAAAGTATTTTGGGACTTGGGGAGTGTCACTTACCTGAAATGGCATTGTGCAGGACTGAATATCCCAAACTTTGAATGGCTTACACACCAGCTTATCTCGCACTCCAACTTGCCAGAGTGTTATTTCGCCATTACTGGAGCCAACTGTGCCGAAAAGAGTTCAAATGGCATTATCATTAACTGCACAGTATGTTGTTGCAGTAGCAATGCACGTACACAAATGTAAAATTCCCGAGGCAATCATACCAAGGAACAGTGTATTATGAGATGGGTGAAAATCCATGCTCGTAACAGTGGATCCTTGATGCAGAGTGAATGCTACGGTTCTTGGCAAATCCTCAAGAGACCATGACGCTTGCTGCCTAACAGTAGGATATGTAACCTGTTGAAAAGAAGATAAAAAGCATTCAAACTTCAACACATGCATGGTTCAGCTATTCAAATAACTCCCACGTACAAAGAACAATAATACAGCAGTAGTTAACTTACTATATCCCTCTTCCCCCATAGGCCCATACTAGTAGCAACTAACAGTGTGATTCTTTAAAGAAGAGCTTCATCAGAAGTCTTGTAGCAACATGGGTACTTTGTATGAGCAAGAAATAATAATCAAGGTTTTCAAAAATACCTCCTCCACAGACTGCACAGGACGCAAACGTTTCATTAACTGTTCAGGATCTGCATTCTGATACTCAACCATACCCAGTGTTGCAGGAGGTGTGATTGGACGCTTCAAGATTGAAACTGAAACATATAGTGAATAAATTCAAATCAAATAAAAATCTTTTTGAATAGCCAAAATTAGCAGTTTCTCAAAGTTCAGAACTGCATTTTTTCCTTTCAAAAATATGACCGATAAAATATCATAGATAAAACGTTGAGCTCAATTAACACAATAGACAGACCTTGGTTCGGAACAGGTAGGGATGATGCAGTCACCACTGCCGCTTGAACAGATGATGATGCAGCAGCATTTGCCATCCAACCTGCTAATGCATTAGCATTTGCAGTAGCTGCAGTGGGTGGAAATGGCTGCCAGCAACAGGACAGAATGAATTTGGGTATGACAAAAATATCTAGATGTACACTATGGTATAGACAGGTCCTCTAACCAAACAGATCATACCCCATGAGCACCGAGTGATGTGTAGGCAGTAGGCTTTGGAACCGCATTAGCAGGAATGTTCACAGCACCCGGAGGAATAGTCCCATTTGGAGGATTGCAAGTATGGTCTGTGAACAAGGTCTTTATATCTGGATTCGACCTTGGATTTTTGCACAGTTGATGTTGCCAATTCAAACTGAAGAAAAAGCATATCCAATTGCCATGTTCAAAATATCAATGGACAAATAAAGTACCCCTACATCCCAAGATTTTCATCTCTTTTCCCTTAAGGGGGTTTGTCCCAAAAATCTCATTCCCATTTAAGGAAAGATTTGTGGTTGATACTTTTTCTCTTAGGTCTGAAAAAATCACAATACAATTTCATTTTCTTAATAAGCATACCAAGCCACAATGGAAAGAACATTTGGGACATAGGGAGTAGCAAACACTAAAAATGGACAACCATATCAACATAGTAACAAACACTATCGGTGGACGAACAGCTACACATATTCGGGCACAAGGATACAGATAGGTGGCATGAGCATTTTTGTAGAGACAAGGGTACACTTGTTTGTGTGTGTTGAAACTTGAAAGTATAACAATTGCACAAAATTCATTAAACAAAAACTAATGTTCACATCATAGATTAGAAAACACTGATATATATATACACACACACACACATATAGGGTGCAGTTCAGGTGAGAATGGTCCTTACTGCAAGAAATGAGAATGGTGCATTTTTATGCCGTCACGATGGATTTCTCCATTGTGGTAGTGCATTTTCGGCACTGGGAGTAAAGTTCAACATATCTATCCTAATGCCACCACGTTTTTTCAGATTTTTTCAGTTTTTTTGAATTTTTCAAGCCCTTAGATCTTACATCTAATGCACGAGGTGCATTCTTATTTCTTTCATTAGACCGCATTCTCCCTGGATCCAAAATCTATCTATCTATATATGTGTGTGTGTGTGTGTGTGTGTGTGTGTGTGTGTGTATAAACAGGGGAAAAAAGTAAACACATTAAACCATGACAAAAACATAAAAAAGAGCCTAAAAACTAGTGAAAGTGTGAAACTTTTACTTGAAGAAGGCGCCATGAAAAAGGATGAGTAATATGATTTCCTAATTAAGTAAAATTGCAAACAAAATGATAGAATTTCCATTTTGGCACGAACCATTAATACGAAATAATACACTACACAAGCAAGGTTGTTAATATTGTAATTCAATTTGCAGAATTACACAATTTTACGAGTACTGTTCATAATTCATATGCGCAATTTAGATCGCGTCTTCTATTGTATTGATTAGACAGCCAAGGATTGTCAAGCAGGGCGGGTTGGGTAGTTGACTAATTAACAGGAAAACAACAACAACAACATTACCGTAGTGCCTCAACGGCTCCCACCTATTGCGGGGTAAGGGGGGTCGGATATACAAAGAGTGGTTGTTTCCAGATGACCCATGATGAGCGTCGAAAGCTGCATTGACTGACTGACACTTCACAATTGCAAGAAGTGCAGACAATTTAAAGAGCCAATTTGCTTTATTCCATCATACCCCAAAGCCAAAAAATAGTTAAGCTTTGGCTCCACATGGGATAATTTAACTTATAAAATGCTGAGGAAGAGAAATAGTCGCACTGTTTCATATTACAGCAGCGCTCAAAGTCCTGAAGCCGTATACATCTACTCCTTATGTTCTCCAAATTCTTCCCTTAAAAAATCAATGACATCTTCACTCTTGCAACTACATAGCATTCTTATTCTTTATCTCTACTCTGTGAGCCAGTTTTGTCGAAGATCTCTGTGTTCAGCATTCAGCACCACCACCCCGAGTCAGTTCTTCCCTCTGTTGCAGTTGTGTGCACCTCCCCTCTTTGAGTTTTCAGTTTTGTCAAAGACATTAGTCTTCAGCCTTCTTAAATCTTGCACTACTGTTTGATGATGTCGTTTTGTATAATAAACGTTTTGCAATATTATTTTGAACTTTTTAATATGTTTTTATTTGGAAGTTATTAGTATAACTCCTTACTATCAGCAAACACCCTGCTATTAGTAGCTTCACCCAATAATTATCTTTAAAAATATGTATTGGCCTAATGGTTAGGTACCCCAAACAACTGAGCCGTACCCAAGGCATACGTGTACTCTAGACACACCCGGTACAGATACCTAAGCTAAAATATTGTCCCAGGCTTCTTAAAAGTGAGTAACAAACACTATCAGTGGTGCACAAAGTAAAAACCCTATCCAAGGATAAATAGGGTAACAACACTGTCCAGGGACTAACAAAGTAACAAACGCTATCCAAGGGCAAAAAAGTAACAACCACTATCAACGGACAAACAGAAGTCACAAACACCATCAACAGACAAGCAAAAGTAACAAATATCAACAGATAAACAAAGTAGTGTAAATGTGTCGCTCTAAAATTGGGAACATGGATAATTAATCACCATAACACATACACACACACACACACTGACACACGTGTGTGTTCATACTTTTAGCAAGACGGGGCACTTATAAGCAGAAACAAAGAAATGTGTGAGATTTTTATATAAAATGAGCTGTTTTCTTTTCGATTCCAATGGTATTGAGAAAATACAGAACTTTAAAAATGTAGACGGAGAAAGATGCAAATGCACACCTCTGATTAATCAAGGTGCGCAATCTTGATGCCTTGAGGGTTGGGAATACAAGCTTTTCTCGAAAGAGAGGATTTGCTTCAATCAATTTTTTCAGCTCTATCAACATTATGCTGCGAGCAGTCTTTGTGTCCCCATACTTTGAAAGCTGTTCATTCTCTCTGGGAAAGTTTTCAAAAGAATACGAGACTCAATAATCCTCCACTCCAAGAAAAACTGTCTAATCAGAGGTAAAGAATAACCCACATTTCATCTTCATGAGCTAGCTTTCATACAGAGATTACAGAAAATTCAAAAAATAAAAAGTTGAAGCTCTATCACTGAGACACTAAGAGAGCAATATCCTAACCTTGTAAGCACAAAATGAACAAGGTCAGCAAAAAAAAATTGAACAGAACTCCCTAGATACTCGTATAGAAGTACACTGCCATATGGGATAGGAAAAGCACTTGCAAGTCTTTTATAAAGATCGATGTTTCCTAAATATCAGGAAAGGTACCTGAAATTACTTAATGTCAGCAACTGAGTAATTTCTTTATAGAGATCTTCATTAAATGTTGAAAACACTTTCAAATCATTCACAAGGATCTCTACAGCCTTTGCCTTATCTTGCCTGAGGAAAAGTTCAATCCCAAGGATTAGAAAGAAACAAACTAATTCAAAAGGAGGGAAGAATTTGGGTGTTGTAATTCAAAAAAAAGAGAAATAACATATACATACCCATCAAGTGCTTCGAGATACTTCTGCTTTCTAATCTCAAAAAATATTTTCATGGAGTACCTATTGTCATCTACTTTTGTAAATCCAGATAGGTATTTCTCAACTTCATCCCATTCACCGGCATGAACTTTCTCCTCGAAGTACTTCATATTGAAGAAAAACCCCGATTCTTGCTCAAGCCTAGAAAATACTCCGTATCAAACAAATTATCAACCACAACAATCTCACATTATCACACCTTTCAGTGTAAAAACAGCTCAAACAAGAAGATAAATGGTTACATATTCGCCACAATGGAAAATTTTGATAGTACTCTGTATCATGATTAACGCTCCAATTGGGAGTAGATAAATTTTTAACTCCTCACTGATTAAAAAGGACATTTCTGGTTTCCCCTTAATTGCCCCCACGGGTCGTCACATCAATCAACACTAAAATTAGCTCATTTTCACACTTCTAACCTCGCAGCCATATATTAACACGTTAACCCAAAATCCATAAAAACATAGCTATTTTTAGCTAAGGGGAAGATACTAAAAGTTTTTTGAAAAAAATTGAAATACTCTGCAAATGAGTAAGAATAACCCAATAAGAAAACACAGTAAAAAGTGATGCCGCAAAACAAAAATGGAAAAGACAAACCGATCGATCAAATAAATGGAGAATAGGGCAGACCTGTGAACTGAGTCCTTAAACTTCTCCTCCTCCAGGAATTGAAGTATGAGAAAGACCAATTCTCTGCTAAGAGAGGACATTTCAACCACCTGAAACTCCAATCACGTCACCTTTACACCAAATCCAGGCAAAATGAGCTCGGAATCCACAGATCGAAGCAGGAGAGAGCCTAGCCAGCAAGAATTTCTAGGGTTTTCCCCCCCACAAAAAAGCAAAACAAAAGAAAAAACAAAAGGCCAAAAAGAGAAATAATGAAGCAGAGAGAAAGAAGAAGAAGAAGAAGAATGGAGGAAGAAGACGGGGAGAGGTATATATGTGGTGGGGGTGGGGAAGGACTTGGGTCTCGCTATCTTCGATGCCATTTTGCCAGAAGTCCATCGCTGATAAGCGGACGCGCTTATCACTTCTCCGGAGCTGTCAGTGGCGATAAGCTGATGAGCTTATAAACGTACCTATCGTTGCGTGAAGTGGAGGAGAAAGCTGGTTGAGTTGCGGATTCGAAATGGGAAATTAAAATCCAGTTGGATATTCATTGTCACGTCCGCTTTCATTGCGATCTGACGCGCGTCTCGAATATCTTCTCGTCAATTTATCGCCAATTCCCAATAAGTTGAGGGGTTTTATTTCTCGGCTATATTAGGTTACCGAATACATATTCCACATTGATGTAAGCTTTGACTCTCATGTATGTATAGAAAAAATATATTGCCCTCTCTCCCATTTTAAATTTTCTGTTTGTCTTTTTTCTCTATCCCAAAATAAATTGCCTGTTAGTTGTTTTCGTAAACTTTTAAAAATAAAATACCTAAACTATCCCTAAAATAAATCACTCTTCTTCACCTTATTTTTTCATTCATTATCACCCCTCCTAAAAAGTAATGGCAATTTCTGAAAATCAACTTTATTTTTTATTTTCCTTAAATATGCCCGAAAGTCAAAACAGACGATTTAAATTGAGACGGAGGGAGTATTATAATATAAATTTAATATTAATATATTTCTGATTGATTTTTCACCGTGTTTGAAGTTGTACTTTAAATATCAATATCTTTACATAAATAGATTTTATAAAATATATTAATATTAAATTTATATTATAATACAATATATTTTTTCTATATATCAGAGTCAAAGTTTACAAACTTTGACCAAGAAAAGTAAAACGGGAAGATCATTTCTGGACGGAGGGAGTATTTGACTTTTGAGTAGTTCTTTCGTAGTCCTAAGGTTAACATGTAAAATATGGATCTTCTAATATTTTTCGTGGACTTGTAAGTAGATTTTTTAGTTTTCTTTTTTTTAAAGCTCAATTCTTTTACAATATGAAACACTAAAATTTATAAAATAAGTATAGATTTAAGAACACGTAAGAATTTGCATAGACTCTTATGCAAATTAAAAAAAGTGTCGAAAAATAAAATAAAAAAAATTATTAGAATTTGATGAGAGAAAGAAAACAAAATTAGCCATATAGTTCCTCCCTTTTAATGAAAGTAAAATTGTTTAGGTACATCCAAAATAAGAAAACACGAAAATTATTTAATGACAGATAAAGTACATTTTAGGGGATGCAATCTAGATTTTAGGGCATATTTGGGGGTAATGATATTGAATTCATGTGCCCAAATAGCATTGTTTATTTATGTTCATCAAAAAAAGAGAAAGACAAAAATAGAAGCAAGACGTAACTTATAAACCGAAATAAGACTCCAAACCACAGTTTGGAAACCCGGACTAGACGGTTCGGACTAGGAACCGGCGAACCGGATGTCCAGCCCTTTAGACCGCATTGTGCGCTGAACTAGTTCGAACCGCTGTGAACCGATAAGAACCGGACAGTTCACCCGATCGAACCAAATTATTTTTTTTACAAAATTTGGTCAAAATATTATTCTATAAGGTTCGATAGTTCAAATTGGTGTGAACCAGTAAGAACTGGCCGGTTCACCTAGTCGAACCAGTTTTTTTTTTTACAAAATGTGGTCAAAATTTTATTCCATCAATAAGATTCGAACCTTTAACCTCTGAGTTGTTATACCAAGCTATCAAAAATAGCATTTTCAGACAAATTTTTGGATTAGAATTTCGGGGGATCGATCCAGGCAGTGTGATCGATCCAAGCATTGTAGTTTCAGGTCACTGTTCATCTTTTTCAACCTTCGGTCCATTTTTCGGGAATACCATTTTTAGGTACTGAACTTCAATTAAATTATATAGAGATGTTCTTCAAGGCTCATAGATCATTTTAGAATCATTAAATCATATTTTTAACATCAAATTCAAGGTTTATGATTCTTTGTTCTTCAAACATGTCAAACACAAAACTCAACCAAATGACCGTTTATGAACGTAGAAACGACCTATATGAACATTCTAGTCATTAGATATATCTACGGGCTTACCTCGAAGCTTATTGAAGGTTTTGAGAATTTTCCGGCGAAACTTCCGGCGACTATATCTCACTGCTCCGGCAACCTCACACAAAGATGACAGCACCACTGCACTCTACTCTCACCAAGGAACAATATAGAAGGAAGAATGAGTTGTTTTGGTGAGGAAATGAGGAAGTTGGGTTGTCCTTAAATAGCCCAGTGAAGAAGAAGAAGACACAGGTTTGCAGCTTCCGTGATTGAGCAACGAATTTAGAATCGGCGTAATTGAACAGGGAGCCGTTTGGTGTGTAGTCATTGATTGGGACTAATTTTGGTCCCAGTTGGGGTACACTTTTTGGTCCAACTTTCTCCGAATTGAAATCCGATTGAACTGTTGGGGTCAGACAGTCAAACTCTACATAATGATATAATTTTTATTATTTAAGGACAAACTTTATAAATTGCTTATTTTTGGGTCTTCTCAGTAATTAATTAATTATCAATTAATTAATTCTGATAGGCCTAATTTTGGGGCGTTACAATTGTTCTTGGCCTAAATAGGTTAAGGGTGATTATTGATAACAAGTTTGTTAATGCTATGAATGATATATGATGAATATTGTGATGACTAACTTGACTTGTATCTTGTTTTCCTGATACCATGTGGTTCGGTTATGTATCGTAATTTTATCTATATATGCATGTATGTTCTATGCATTAAGTATCTTCACTCAGCTTCGCCGATGAGCGTGTAATATGATTTAATTGTTACACACATTTCAACAAAATAAGAATGAATCTAGAGCCAATATTTGAGGGCAACAAGGATGAGATGACATATGGATGTATGACCAATTTCTCCTGTTTAATAAATATTTTAAAATAAACTCATCATATTTTCATCATGATCCAAATGGATGGCTTGACCTCATCACCCATGCCCGTATACTTTCATATGGCTTTGTGGTCATGAGGATCTTTCATGGCGCCTTAGTCAACATTGGCGTTGGCCTGCTTGTCAAAGCCACCAAACTGTGGACTATTTATGATCAAACGTTTCCACCCGGTCAAGCCAAGGGAGAGAGGACAACCCGTTGGGCTGAGGATACTCTCATGCTTTGCTTGCTTACATCGCTGACTTCATCCAAGCGTTGACCATATTGGTCAATGATATTGACACAAAGTGTAACACCTCGGCCTCTACCCTGACTGTAAGTGTCTGCTCATAGGATTGTAGATTGGCCCCACAAACCAACACAAGTCTTTTCCGCACACTTTGTCCTCACTCATGCGCGCCCAAGGAATTCCCAAGGGGTCACCCATCCTAAAATTTCTCTAGGTCAGGCACGCTTAACTTTGGAGTTTCTAGGTGATGAGCTCTCGTAAAGAAGATGCACCTTGTTGGTATGTGTAGTACTATCAATTCTTTTGAGCCTTTTTCTTTCCACAGTCCATTTATTTTCAAATCAAGGTATTACACAAAGGTTCAATGTCAATGCCATTACTTTTGCATGTGTTAATACAGGGACTTGGTAAACACTTAAAAATATTTAGGGATATAGAGAGCATTTTAGAAAAGTATATAGGGAAGTAGTAAGCATTTAAAATAATATAGAGAGTACTTAAAAACACAAGAAACTAGCAAGCCACTTACTCATATCTTAATAGTGTAAATTAATTTTGAAAATGTTACAGTAATATTTAAGTCATGACGTTATATCAGGGGTAAATCTATATTGACGAGATTGAGAGAACTTGCCCTCAATAAATTTAAAAAATTGTACCACAAGTTCTTTAAAAATTATTAGTTATGCCCTCATAAGAAATTAAATGCCCACATTTAAAAAATGAAATGCCCATAATTGCCTTGACTATACAATTCTCTGATTTTTTGGGTGTCTTGCTTATCCCTAACTATGCCATCTCATTGACCATGCATAAATTCCAATCCCGGTCCACACAATGTCTCTTCTTAGGGTATGACTCTCTATCTAAAGGTCATTGGTGTCATGATCTTCACAATGGTTGTGTCAATGTCTTGTGCCATGTGGAGTTTAAGGAAACAATTTTCCCTTACTCAAAGAGAACACCTTCTTCCGCGTCTCCCTCTTCGTTTCTTGGTGTCCTTCCCATCTTCCCAGTCAGTTCGTCGGAAGGTAACTCGCTCACTCACAGGGTCCCTAACCTAACCCCACACATACCACCAACCCAAATCGTCTACTCGGGCCACCCAGCCACTATACCCGAACAACGCCAACCACGCCCAACCTCTGTACCCAAAACCCATACCAAACACCCAACTCCTCTTAAGGTGTTAGAACTTGTCAAATAATGGGCTATATGATCGATCAGAAAGGTGGGAACATAGGTGTGGGTTTCAATACAAAAGATATGTCTAATCCATCCCAATAAAAAGATGACATGTGCCATGTGCTCATGGGCTATATGATCGATCACAAAGGTGGGCACATGGATGTAGATCTCTTAGAGATAATAAGCTATCTTCACAGAAAAGCTGATAATGATGCCATGTTTTATTTGTGATACAAAGTTATCGATGGTGATAAATTGAGTGATCTATTTTGGGCTGATGGAACAAGTAGGTTTGATTATCAGTTGGAGTTGTTGTTGCATTTGATAACACATATAATAAGAACATATATAATAAACCTTTAGTTATTTTCTTAAGAAAAAATCACCATTCCCAAACTGTGATATTTGTTTGTGCTATTGTTGCTAATGAAATTGTTGGTTCATATAAGTGGATTTTGAATACTTTTCTTGATGCAATGTGCAATAAGCATCCATTAGCAGTAGTGACAGATGGAGATCGTGCAATGAGGAAGGTAATCAAGACAAATTTTCCAAAAGCATCTCCTCGATTGTGTGTGTGGTACCTAAATAAGAACACATTCGATAACATTAAGGAACCATCATTTCTGAAGGACTTCAAAAGAGCGATCTATTATAATTTTATCTCTGAACGTTTTGAAGAGTATTGAAGAAATATCATTTTCCAACATCAACTTAAAAATAACAGTTGGGTGTCACAAGTGTATAAGAAGAGGCGTATTTGGGCTACTGCATATTTACGAGATAATTTTTTTGATGGGCTGCAAACTACATCTCTTTGCAAAGGTATAAATTCTATGATAAAGACATATGTGAGGAGAAAAAATACAGTTGTTGAGTTATTATATAACTGTGAGCATGCAGTAAAGGATTATAGATCGAACGAGTAAATTCTGATTTTACATCGCTTTACACAGAACATGTGTTTACTCCAGCCCTTCTAAACAGGTAAAAGGGAACACGCAATAAGGATGAACATCAAACAAGTTATATATTATTAGAAGATATTGTCTTTGTGAATAGCCTGGCATTTCATCTCATTTTTAGTTTCATACCGGAGTAAGAAGAAGAAGGAGGAGGAGGAGGAGGAGGAGGAGAAGGAGCAGGAGAGAGGGAGGAGAAAGAGAAGGAGAAATAATGGGGTGGGATTATTTAGGGTAGTTTTTATGTTAAAATTTGAAATGAAAAGATTGATTCTTAACGGAAAAAAAAAGAATGAGAAGATTATTTTTAGATGGAGAAATTCTTATCTTTAAAATAAATATCCTATCCCTAGATAAGAGTGAAAAAGTATGAAATTACCAAATAAGAGTCTTATGTATTTTAAAATCAAAACAGGAGTATAATGATAGTGCGGTGTAAGAGTACGCGTTGGCAGTGTATTGGAAAAATGATGACTGTATAATATATCAGTGTGATTAGTCAACTATCGGCAATCCGCGGCGGCGACGGATGGCAATGTGGTGATGATAGTGTAGCAGTTACAATGTGACAATGTGGTGAGTGTGTCAGTATAACAATGACAGTGTGAACTCTTATTTTGAATTTAAATGACTTATGACTCTTATTTTGGTATTTTTATAGTTTTTTTACACTTATCTATGGAGTTCTCCCTATTTTTAAATATGTGATTTTTGCTTTTAAAATTCACCCCAATTTCCAATATTGTACTATAGAATTACTTCATACTCCCTCCAATTTCCAATATTATAGTTTTTGTCATATTATGCAAAACGAAGTAAAATGTCAAATTTTTCAATTTATTTTATTTAAATATCGGTATAGAAATAAGAAATAAAATTTACACTATTTAAAAAGTAAGTCAAAACTTGGTCAAAATAAGAGGTGACAAAAATATATTATTTTATCAAATAATTGATGAAAACGAATAAATAAATAAAATTTTCGTAATTTTTGAATAAGGAACTTTGATACGGAGTTTTATTTTTTGGACAAAGAGAGCCTTGGTTATGATGACAAGGGTACCACAGGTACCTACCAGGCTACCACTAGATTACTCCGTAATTGTTTACTCGAGTATCAGGGTTGGTTCAAATTGTTTGGAGACCTTGTGTAGAATTAACATTAGACAACTAATTTATTCCAAAAAAAAAGACATCTAATGTTTGTTATATACCGGTTATGTCTAAATTTAAATAAAACTTTTCTTAACATTCTTAAATTAGCTTGCTAGGATGTAAACCTCTCATACATTATTATTTTTATACGTAGAATTAAGACAAAAAAGATACTATATTTTGTGATTTAGTAAATAGTCACAATTCACAAATACAAAAAAAATTGGTTATATAAAAAAACATATACACATTATTTACAATAAGGTTATATAGTCAGCACATATTGAAGTCGTCAATGTGAAACATTCATTGACGACTATTCTCTGTTGCATGCATGCATCAATAGAATAACTATTGTCGATAATGACTGGCGTGTGCATTCTGTTAATGCTCTAAGGGCCACCACTCATATATTCCACATTTGCCACATAGAAAAATGATTGGATCAAAGGAGAAAATTAGGTCCTATCTTGGGTAGTTTTCCCTATTTACATAGTTCATTTATTTAAAGGAGAATATTAACCATTGAACCGAAATAAGAAGGTTTTTATTGAAAAATGAAGCATTACATTCATCAATTAATACTAGTAACAAATAATCACCAATTTTCTTATTTTACAACAGAATGTTGAGTAGCAATATATACGTAAGTGAAAATCTCCCCATTGTCAATCTATACACACAATTGAAAAGATGAACTATACATGAATTATGATAGGTTTAATTAAGTGGAAGTCCTAATAAAATATATAATGCACACTCACCATCTTCAAAAGCTCAATGAAAGATATGAGGAGAAGTATAAAACTCACGGTCAATAAATATCGGTCTCAGGTCTTCTTCACGCATGAACTCTAAGGGAAAGCAAACAACATGTCCTTTGATTGACTTTAACCTGTTGATTGGTTTCGCTAAGCCGGCTTCCTCATTCACGAAATCTTCATGTTTCTCTGGCGCAACTCCTAAATCAACTGTGTTGTGCTTGAGTTTCTCTTTACATTGTCTGAGTGCATGCCTGTATTTTATGGGAATGTTTGACTGACACACATTTGAAACACTTGAAAGCCAAAGAAACCTTTTTTTAGGCACACTTGAAAGTGGTTTTCCATGAAAATCATTTTTTGTGTGTTGGAAAATGGTTGGG